CTGAAGCAAAAAGGCCAGGAAAGCTGCAGCTGGGGAGGCCCCTGAAACCATTCCCACTCCTGGGTGGTAGGTGTGATCTCTTCACCCTGAAAAAGGTAGAAGCAAAGATAATCAAGATTCTCACACCAAGGACTGAGAGTGTAGATAAGTGGTGGAGCCTTGGATTTGATCCCCACAACCACACAGACACAAATGCTAGAATCCCATTAAATCAACTAACCGTAAAGACTTGAAGTGAGGTGGCCCCTGTTGGATGGATGGCAAGGGCCCATCTCTGAGACACCAGTCATCTCCATTGAGGCCAACGGTCACAAGAACTAAAAACAAGGATAGAAGATGAAGGCTGAGAATCTTAGCTGTAATTAATCTGGGCTTTGCAGAAGGATATGCCCTAGCCTTTATGAATGTGCCCTCTGTGGCACAGTGAGGGACAATATTTCTTCTTCTTTTTAAAATTTATTTATTTCTGTATATGAGTGCTCAGATCCCACTATGGATGGTTGTGAGCCACCAAGTAGTTGCTGGGAATTGAACTCAAGATCTCTAGGAAGAGCACCCAGTGTTCTTAACCACTGAGCCAACTCTCCAGGCCCCTATATTTCTGATTGCCCAGACAGGCCTCTCCTTAGCTGAGTAACAGCTATGGAACCTACTTGCAGTGCTCTGGGGTGGCCTGGGCACCCTGGTGAGTGGTCATGAGAAGCGGATGTTATGACTGACAGGCAAGGCTATTTACTTGTGGTGTCTCTTGCTTCTTCCATATTTTTTCTGTGCCATGTTTTAGCTAAATCTGTTAAGACTGACCAAGGACTAGGCCGTCTATAATTAGTCCCACTAAATTCCTTCTTCGCTCACAGCAAAATTGAATGTTTACACGAAACTACACCAGCTGAACTTACCTTTTCAATAGATTTAAATCTTTCTTGGTTATTCTCCCCCAAACTCACCCTTACAAACTCACTTCTGAAAGCACACATTCCTTCAGTCTCTTTACCTGTAATAACACTTGACATCCCACAAGCAGGTAGGGGGTGAAGCCCATGGAAGAGCCTTGGCTAGAATCAGGAAGCCCCGGATTTAATCCCCAGTTTACACAAAACAAGGGATGTGGAGACTCTGTGGTTCCTGTGGCTCTCCCTGAAGCACTGGGTATGCTGTCAGGGGCTCCCTTGTCAATTCCTATTTGAAGGGAATAAAAAACACTCCCCTGACTCAGAGAACTGGAGTTCCATTCCCAGCAGCCCGGTCAGTTGACTCGCAACCACCTGTAACTTCATCTTCAGAGGATCTACTGCCTCTGGCCACCTCAGGGCACATAACCATACCCAAACCTGTGGTTAAAAAAAGAACATTTTTTTGTTTTGAAACATTCATTTCTTTTTTGTTTTGGTTTTCAAGACAGGATTTCTCTGTGTAGCCTTGGCTGTCCTGGAACTCACTCTGTGGCCCAGGCTGGCCTTGAACTCACAGAGATCTGCCTGTCTCTGCCTCCGGAGTGCTGGGATAAAGGTGTGTGCCACCACTGCCTGGAAAAAACATTCATTTCTCATTCATTGCTCCCCAGTTCCTGACTGTGGACGGAACATGACCTGCTGGCCTCCTGCTCCGGTTACCATGCCATTCCAAAAATTGTGGTACAATCCCCCAACTGTAACACCTTCCCCACAAATTCCTGGGGCCAAGAAAGTATTCTTGTAGAGGACCCAGGTTCTGTTCCCAGTATCTACAGCCATTCCAGACTCTAGATCCAGGGGATCCTACATCCTCAGCTCATCTCACAGGCACCAGGCATGCAAGGGATGTATACACATACTACCTGCAGACAAAACTTTCATCCACATAAAAAAAAAAAAAATTCATTTTGCTTGATACCTTTTAGGAAAGGGACAGGCCTACCTGTATCTGACAGTCTTCATAAGAATAAAGGTAAAACAAACGCTGTTTTCAAGACTTAGAATCTCTTGTTCTTTGGGCTACAGAGATGGCTCAGTGGTTAAGAGCACTTGGCTGTTCTTCCAGAGGTCTTGAGTTCAATTCCCAGCAACCTACATGGTGACTCACAACAACCATCTGTAATGGGATCTGATGCCTTTTTCTGGTGTGCATGAAGACAGAGCACTCATATCCATAAAATATGTAAATAAATATTTTAAAAAATCTCCTATCCCCAATGTCACTTAGTTATATCAGAGCCCAGCTAAAAGCAGACAAGCAGCCATCAATAATGTAAGAAAAACCAGCACAGTTCTGTAGGAGATACCTAAATTTGGAGAAGCCTAACGGTGCATGCCTGTAGTTCTAGGCACACACTTGAAGGACTCTAGGCCAGCGTACCAATGACAATCGTATATCCATGTCTATTGCCATACTACTTCCAAAAACCAAGATACAGAAAAAGCCCGAGTTCATTCACAAATGGATAAGAAAATGTGGTATACACACAATGCATATTTTTCTATGCATATGCATATTTAACCTGCATGTATGTCTGTATATATGTCAGTAGACTGCAGAAGCCAGATGTTCTGGAACTGAAGTTATTGGCGACTGGCTGTGATGCCATGTGAGTGTGAGGATTGAATCTGGGCCCTGTCAGGGAAGCCAGTGCTGTCAACCTCCCAACCATTTCTCCAGCCTCCACTGGAGTTTTGTTAAGCTACAAATAATGCATTTTTAAGGTATCAAGAAAGCAATTACTTCCGGGCATGGTGGCACAAGCTATTAATCCTAGCCTTGAGCAGGGGCAGGCTCAGGCGCAGGCGCAGGGAGATCTTTCTGGATATGAGGCCAGCCTGGTTTACATGGTGAGTTCCAGGACAGCCAGGGCTGCATACTGAGACCCTGTTTCAAAACAAACAAAAAATGCCATCACAGTTGTTTCTAGAGAAACAGACATAATTAGAACCAAGTGGAATAAGCCATACTTACCTCAGACTCTCGAGCATAATTTAGTGTGAGCAGTCTGTGTGCACACAATGTAAGAGACATGAACGGAAGCCGAAGAGGGATGCTTGGGGAAGGGAAGCAGCAGGGCAGGGAGGGGGGGACTGTGAGGGTAAGTGTACCAGTAGTGCACAGACAAAATCCATTGTTTTAGCACACACACACACACAAACAATTAAAAGGCTATCCCAGCATGGCACTTTCTGCCAGGGTAAGATTTCTGTTTTTTTCGTTTTTCTTTTTTTTTTTTGGTTTTTCGAGACAGTGTTTTTCTGTGGCTTTGGAGGCTGTCCTGGAATTAGCTCTTGTAGACCAGGCTGGTCTCGAACTCACAGAGATCCACCTGCGTCTTCCTACCTAGTGCTGGGACTAAAGGCATGCGCCACCATCGTCCAGCTCAGGGTAGGATTTCTAAGAGGAGCAGTCAGCCACAAGTTTAATAATCAGTACTGGGCAAAATTCCACTGGCTAACCTTCTGTCTTCCCTAGCTGTTGGTTTGGCTAGCTTATATCTATTTAGTGTTTGTGGTGTATAGTGTGCACAGGTGAGAGCAGAGAACAGTTCACAAGAGTTGGTTCTTCCTCTTATAGAGTGTGGGTTCAGGGGATGGAATGAGGATTGTCAGACTTGGCAACAGGGTTTCCATATTGGGCCATCTCACCAGTGCTGTGGCTTTTTGTGACAGGGTCTGTCTCACTATATAGCCTTGATTGGCATCACTGTATCCACTCGTGGGCACCAAGTCACATGCTAGGTTTCTTGCTTGTTTTAAAGAAAAACCCTAGCAGCTCTAGTTGGCCTTAAACTTTTGGTTCTCCCAATCAGCCTCAAGTGTTGGCAACACAGTAGATTTAAGGCCAGCCTGAGTTACATGATACCCTGCCTCAAATACCAACAAAAGTATGTTGACACTAGGTGAAAGCAAGACAGATGAGACCACTAAGGGTAAAGTTGGTGTTTTATTTTAGTCAAACAGGTATTGGCTTATTATAGTAGTCAAATAGAAACATCTTTCTACAGATATTAACACAGCAGTACTCATGGTGAAACCAAAGGCACTTAACAGGTAAAGTCTCCTAATTGCCAAAAATGGATGTCCTCCTTCAATCAAAGCTTTGGTTTTATTTTGTTACTATTTATTACTATTTGCCTATAGTCTAGGCTAGTCTTGACTTACAGTGCTCTGGGCTAGCCTCAAACTCATGATCCTTTTCCCTCGTCCTCTAGAGTGACCACCACATATGAACCAAATCTTTATACTTTTCACACTTTTAGATTCTGCATCCTAAAGATACCCAAACGAGAAATAAAAGTGTAGAAATAAAAATAAAATAAAATAAAAAGATACCCAAACATACTGAATCCATAGCTATTGACAGCCTATTTGTGTAACAGGGCAAGTTATTATTAAAATCTCCTTCCTCAGATCTAGGGAAAGCTGTAGCCACGCCTTCTTAGGGGCTGGCTACAGGTGTGCCTGACCACGTTTGTGAGGGTGTGGTCAGAGTGATGTATTTGCGATTTCTCTTTGCTTCTTGCTGTACAGACCTCTACCAAGCCAGCTGGCTGGGTCGCTCTGTAAGTAAGGCTTTTCCCTATTAAATACCCTTATATTTCTACCTGACTCCGTATTGGTAATTTCCCACAATACTCAGACTTCAGTTAAACCCCTCAAATCCGAGACCCAAGTTTTTAAGGAAAAGGCAAGCCAGGATAAGTGTGTGCGTGTGTGTTGGGGGGGTATAATTCAGTGCCTTCAAAGTCCTTGGATTAACCTCCAGCACAAATCCAGCTGGATTTGTGTAAGTTCCAGGCCAGCCTGGACTACAAAGCTACATAGAGAAACCCTGTCTTGAAAAGGTCCTAGATTTCCTCTCTGGCACCAAAAGAATAAAAATATAAAACTCTTTGAATGAAGCCAGTGTGGTGGCAGAGAGATCCCAAAGTTTGAGGCCAGCCTCATCTACATAGGACAGCCAAGGGTACACAGAGAAACCCTGTCTTGGAAAACCAAATATCTTTGAAAGAAGGAAGAAATCCAGCCGCTGGCCTGACTTTATTCCCCTGGTGTATTAACAGAGTAGTTGAGGAATAATTCCAAGCCTTGAGGGGTGCTAAAATATGTATGGCCTTCCCCAGCGGCTTCCAAACTGGCCTCCACATCACTGGCAAGGAGGTTTTGCTGGCACTGCATGTAAGGCTGCAGAGAATCCTCCCCCAAAAAGGGAGTGTTCCAAGCCTGACTGTTGCAGGCTTGAGAACACCAGGATTGGTTGGTCCAGGCCTGGTTGCTCCAAGTTGGATTGGTCCAGGCCTGGTTGCTCCAAGCTGGGTTAGTCCAGGTCTCGTTGCTCCAAGCCTGCTTGCTCCATGTTGTGTTGGTCCAGGTCTGGTTGCTCCAAGTGTTAGTCCAAGTCTGGCTGCCCCACATCGGAAGACTTTCAGATGTGTTCAGAAAGCCCTGTAGATAGCCAGAATGGAAGCTGGAATACTCCACAAACGCAGAGTCCTTCTGAAAGAGTTGGTTAACTCAATGAGTGAAAACAGAAATCTAAAGCCATAAGCTGAAGAAATGGGAAAAATATCACCATGGAGGCACACGCCTCTCTAATCCCAGCACTCCTAACACGGCAGGAGGATCCTGACTGAGTACATGAGACACTGTCTCAAAATAAATAAATAAGATCGGGGGCTGGAGAGATGGCTCAGAGGTTAAGAGCGCTGGCAGCGGGACTGATGGACACAGTGGCTTCAGAGCCACTGTACTCATCCAGGGAACTCAGGCACACATAAAGTAAGATGGGGGCAAAAAAGTAAAGCTTGTAAAGTGAGCCTTTACCTAAGTCACATTGCTGTTTGTCTTTGTCCACTGGTTTTTCTGCCATCGCTTACATTTCATTCTTTGGTTTTGGAACCAGGTCTTAACCTGCAGAGAGTGACAGGATTTTTTAAAAATTAAGACACGTAGACAAGAGCCCTGGCTGCTCTTCCAGAGGATGCAGGTTCAATTCCCAGCACCCACATGGCAGCGCACACCTGTCTGTAACTCCAGTCCCAAGGACCTGATGCCCTCTTCTGGCTTCCTAGGAGCACTGCACGCATGTGCGCATGCATGCATGCATGCATACACACACATGCATACATACACACACACACACACAAAGGATACCCAGACATGCATGCAAGCAAAACATCCATATGCATAAAGTAGGCATGCAGATGAGCCCTGCTTCACACATTTTTAAAAAATGTTGTTTATTATTATAAGCATAGAAGGGGACACGTGGAGATCTGAGGACAGATTTCAAGCTGTTTGCCTTTTTTGAGGGGGGACTGAGGAGGAAATAGTACTAGATCCCAGGGCCTTACATATGCTATACAAGGCATCTACATAAACCCCACTTTTTTCTGTGTTAGATCTGCCTGCCTCTGCATCCTTGAGTGCTGGGATTAAGGGCATGGTATGTGTGTGTGTGTGTGTGTGTGTTTTCTTTATTTTTTCAGAGACAGGTAGCTCCGTAGACCAGGCTGGCCTCAAACTCAAGAGATCAGCCTGCCTCTGCCTCCCAAGTCCTGGGATTAAAGGTGTGCGCACCACCTTGGCCAAGAAACTGGGTCTCTCTCAAACATGCATCTCTCCAGATTGTGTCACCCATACTCAGAGGCTAGCTTGGTCTTCTCTACATTGTCCTAATTGTAGTGTGTGATGCTGAAGAGAGCTCCTCGTTTCTTTAAATCAACATTAAATGTAGCCCCAGGAGGCCTTGAACTCTGTATAGATGGATTGAACTCCTTATTCTCCCATCTGTTTCCCAAATGCTGAGATATGCCATCATGCCTGGTTCAAAATAAAATAAAATGTTGGGTGTGGTGAGAACAGCTTTAGTCTGAGCACCAGGCAGGCTGAGGCAAAGGCAGGCAGATATCTGTGAGTATACAGCCAGTTTGATCTATACATTAAGTTCCGGACCAGTTGGGGCTACATAGTGAGACTGTGACTTGGGAGTCAGGGTGTGTGTGTGTGTGTGTGTGTGTGTGTGTGTGTGTGTGTGTATGTATGAAGTAGAAAATAAAGTGAAAAAAAAATAAAAAAGATAAAGTGATAGGACTAAAGTGGACAAAGTCTAAGTCACATGAACTAAGCATAGTTGTGTGATGTTTAACATGAGAAAGAATAGACCTCAGAGAGGCGTCTAGATGTTAACTCCATTCATTGGCAAACCAGCCCCATTTTGCTATGTATTACAGCAGCAAAGAAAACCCTACCTGCTTATAGCTAAGGTTCAGAATGGCAGAGAGTTCTTGCATCTGCTGGAGGCTGAGGTACTTTTGCCTCTGAAATCTGTCCCTCAGTGCACACAGCTGGGTGTCAGAGAACACAGTTCGGATTTTCTGCCTCTTCACATGGGCCTTGTCCTCTCCCTTCTTCTCAGTGCCCTCTGCAGACTCAGGCCCAGGGAGCTTTACTTTGGAACTGGTAGAAGAATCAGGGCTGTCCTGAAGAGATAGGTCCACAGAGGAAGGGCAAGGAGAGGCTGTTGGGAATAAGCAGATAATTTGTTAATAAAACATTGTCAACCAAGCTGGGCATTGGTGGCAAAGGCAGGCGGATCTCTGTGAGTTCGAGACCAGCCTGGTCTACAAGAGCTACTTCTAGGACAGCCTCCAAAGCCAAAGAAACCCTGTCTTGAAAGACAAAAAAAAAAAAAAAAAAAAAAAACCACTGACTGCTCTTCCAGGGGAAGAGGGTTCAATTCCCAGCACCCACATGGTGGCGCACACCTGTCTGTAACTCCAGATGCAGAGGATCTGACACCCTCATGCAGACACACACCCAGGCAAAACACCAATGCACATAAAATGAATAAACCTTTAAATAGATAGCAGAAGCGCTTAGCACAGACAGCCTAGCACCTATCACTGCACTCCCTACTTCTACCTCCTGGTTTTATAACCCCAGGCATCAGGTTTTGGGGCCTTTTATCTCCCCTAGTTTTTTGCTTGGTACTGGGAGTCAAACTCTGTTGGGATATTTCATGCTCTACCACTGAGTCAGCCCTGGCCCAGTCATGCAACAGCAAACATATATGAATGAAAATGTCATAAAGAAGTCCATTATAGTGTTATCTAAGGAAACT